CCCCAAAACCCCAAAACCCCAAAACCCCAAAACCCCTTTGATCCTTAAAATAATTATCCAACTTTATTCAAAATAAAAAACTGCTCAAAAAACCTCTAATCACAATCTAAACCACTAAAATTTCCCAACACACTACTAAAATTCCTCAAAATCACACATTTCAAATTCTTTAAAGAGCCCCTCTACACCTCCCTAATCTTTCTGCCTACACCCAAAATTCCCCTTCCTTCTTTGTACTGAACTACCAGCTAGAAACCTCTGGCTTGTGCGGGCTAGGATCTCTGGTTTTTGTACTGAGGCTTGGAATGACGGGTTTTGGGGGAGGAATTGGGAGGAAATAGAGGTTTTGGGGTGGTTTTAAGGGGTTTAAGGGGGTTTTGGGTGGTTTTTAGATGGTAGAGATTATTGGTGGTATTTTAGTGACTGATGTGAGGGTAATTTTAAGCGAATAGATTTGTGAGGATGTGTTTAAGATTTATGGCAGCTTGAATTTGTTTGATGGCCTAATTTTATAGTGAATCTGAAGTATTTTATGTGTTGATATCATATTTGTTACATCTAGACACTATATATCAGCTCTTTAAACCCTTAAATACTAATACTCTAACCATATGTAATTAAAGCTTCTTTATAAATAAAGCAAAAATAGCATTTTCCAAAAGTATTCCCAACTATCAGCACAGCTTCAAGCATAAAGATTTAATTTTGCAAATTTCTTTAAACAGCATAATAAATTTTCCTATTTATCAAATTTAAAAACATCCAAACTCCTAATAGACTCTTATAGGTTACAAATGGATGCTATGAAGCTATTTATACGTATTTTATACATCACTGAACTTCAGAGCCAAATCCTCCATACCTCCGAACCAGCCTTATCCATCTAACCTTGCCCCTACTCAAAAAGGGCAAAAATAAAATACCGAAAAATTGAAGAATTATGATTTAGTTCTTAGTTTTCTGCTTCTTGAAGGAGGAACTCTTGTTCTTAGCAGAAGTAGCAGCAGTCTTACTCGCAGCTTCTTTTGGAGAAGTCTTCTTAGAGCCTTTGGCTTCACCCTCTTTGGTATCCTTGATTGTTGGAGATGAGTTCTTAGTTTCAGGAGAGGACTTTGTATCTTTAGAAGAGGCTTTACCATTCTTTGGACTTATCTTCTTGTCCTTCTTGTCCTTCTTGTCCTTTGGGCTATCCTTCTTCTCTTTGGACTCAGCCTTCTTACCTTTAGAAGTAGCATCTTTATCTTTAGGGCTGCTCTTGACATCCTTTTTCTTCTCTTCCTGACTTGCTTTCTTGTGTTCTTTAGTGCCAGCTTTCTTACTATCTTTAGGACTTGTTTTCTTTTCTTTTTGGATATCTTTCTTATCTTTTGTAGCATCTTTATCCTTAGTAATTTCCTTTTTATCTTTCTCTGTATCCTTCTTATCTTTAGTAGCATCCTTCTTATCCTTCGCTACCTCCTTCTTCTCCTTAGCAGCTTCCTTTTTATCTTTAGGACTGTTCTTTTTCTCTTTAGTACTAACTTTCTTCTCTTTGACATCCTCCTTCCCAGGACTATCCTTCTTTTTCTTAGGACTATCTTTCTTTTTCTTAGGACTATCTTTCTTCTTTCCTGCTACTTTCTTCTCCTCTTCTACTTTACCCTTTTTGCCTTCATCTTTTTTAACGGTCTCTTCTTCTTCTCCTTCAGCTTCTTCACTGCTCATGTCTTCATCTTGTTCTTGTTCTTCTTCGCCTTCTGCTTCTTCTTCCATTTCTTCGTCATTTTCTTCACCTTCGCCTTCGCCTGAGTCTTTTTGACTGTCTTGGCTTTTAGCCTCTTCTTGTTCGCCTTCGCCTTCACCTTGGGATTCGGAGTCTTCTGAAGGTTCATCATCTTCTTCAATCTTTTTGGTTTTGGCGGTTTTAGCGGCTTTAGTGGGTTTAACAACCTTTTTAGCGGGTTTAGTAGCCTTGCTCTTTTTGGATTTCTTTGGAGATTCTTTCTCAGACTCCTCCTCCTCAGCTTCAGAGCTTTCTTCATCTTTAGAAGCCTTCTTTGCCTGACGCTTGCTTTTCTTTGGAGTATCTTCTTCATACTCTTCATCAGAAGAGTTTTGATTTTCTCCCTTTTTGGCTGACATTTTCTTAGTTGCATTTGCAGCAGCAAGCCGGCTTGATCTACGAAGAATTGATGAGGATTTAGCTACATTTTTATCTTCAGAGACTTCCTCATCGTCAAACTCTTTCTTAGATACTTTCCGGGTCCTCTTCTTGCCACTAACCTTATTCTCTTTTGTGGTCTTTTTTGGAGGAGCTTTGGTCTTCCTTGAAGATGTCTTTCTAGTCTTCTTAACTTCTTGCTTAGGAGCATCATGATCGTTGTTCTCTTCAACATCGCTCTTTTCAGACTTATTTGTGTGAGAAGTCCTTGCTGACTCCTTATTGATATCTTCTTCATCAGATGGGTTCTTCATTTCAACATCCTTTGTTGCTTTCTCAATCTTCTTTGACTTTTCAGCTGCCTTTGTCTTCTTGCCTTTAGTCTTGAGACCTTTTCCTGCGACTTTTGTTGCAATTTTTCCTTTAGTCATGTTGGGATGCTTAGTAGATTAAAATGACTAATATCGACTGGGATATATAACTCCTATCCAAAAATACGAACCTAATTCTTTGGTGATTTTGAACTTAATTCAAGCATTTTTATTTAGAAAGGGGTTTTGGGGTTTTGGGGTTTTGGGG